ATATCGTTAATTAATATTTGTTTTAACCAATGGCATAAGGCGTCGATAATGATTAAAACCGTTAGAAAAAAAATTTTAATATTTATAAGCAACGACAATTCTTATTGTTAAGTCGTTACAAATAACTCAGATCAGAAACCATCCATGCACCATCAAAAAATAAAACTTTTTTTGCAACGTAAGCGTTGGTCGTCGGTTTTACCGTCAATTTTAACTCTTTTTCCTGTAGTGTAACAATGAGAAACACATGATTGTACAAAATGAAGATCATGATCAGGTGGGCATGCACAATCAGGTGAAGATCGCCGCCAAAATAGGACACACACGATCAAGCCGAGATCTCAATCATAATAGGATACATGGTTGAAACAAGATCATGATCACAATGGGAAGCATAAATTTGGAAAAGTGTCTTCAAGTGAATCTTCCTATCATTTGAGTTCTGGTTTGTATGGCTACAAAGTTATAGAAATAAAAAATGAAAAATTTATGAGGTAGCTATCTATGACATAGCAAATACATCTTATTCCAAGGAAGAAGATGACAAGATTAATGTGAATATGTGATAGCAAGAAGGCAAACGGCTTCACTTACTTAAATGAGTGCGCTACAAGCTGAGCTGACAACAACGCACCACCAACAACAAAGAAACAAGCTGTATAGTTTAGTGAGTCACAAGAACTAAGAGTTGGCTTTGTTGTCTCTATTTATGTTGAAATGTATAGTTTAATATTGCTATTATTATTATTTATATTTTAATATAAAATTTATTATTTTCAATAATCTTCTATTATTTATTAAATTATTGTGATTTTATTATTATTTTTTCTTGTGATCTTTTTATGGGATGATATGCATGCAAAAAAAAATAGCTGTAATGATCCTAAATTTCATTCCAACATTCTCTAATTCAATATTTACTTTGATAAAATCAAGGTTTGATCATATTATTATTATTAATAATAATATTATTATTATTAATGATTCTTCATCGTGTTTATTTTGTATCTTAGCTAAAAAGTTTTGCAGAGAAAATAAGCAGTGCTTATTTGTTTGTTTCTTTGGCAAACACTCAGAAACAGGAAAAAATATTACATCAGGACTCCGCACGTAGAGTTACGTGCGGAGTAGAATGAAATCACGCCATGTAGAAAAAAAATATTATGCATGGTAACACAAGAGAATTTTCCTCCCGTGTTATTCAGATGTTATTGTGTGTTATTCAGGTATTATTGTGTCTTATTCAAGTATTATTGATGCATTATTATGTTATTATAACACCAGAAATATTCCCATAACACAATAACACCTGAATAACATGTAATAACACCTGAATAACACGGAATAACACGAGGGAAATATTCTCTCGTGTTACCGAGCCGATCACCTCCATGGCGTAATTTCATTAGACTCCGCATTATTCCCATAACACAATAACACCTGAATAACATGTATCGTGTTACCGGACCGATCACCTCCATGACTTAATTTCATTGGACTCCGCACGTAACTCTACGTGTGGAGTCCACAGAAACAGAGAAGAAGATAAAGGAATTGGTGTGAAGTGGTCTACTGACTTCCCAATGGCATCACTTCAGTAAAATACGGATAACTACTATACATATAATAATGCTTTTGTATTAAAAATTCTTCTTTTCCTAAAATGTAGGATAAAAATTGGTATATATATATATATATATTAAAATTTTTGACAAATTCTAGCAGTAAATAGTTGAATTGATCAGTTCATGAGGATCAAGAAAATTTTTACATATTATTATTTTAAATGAGTAAATGTGTAAATATAGCAAGCTAGCTTTCATGGACAGTTCATAGATTTTTGTTACATAGCATATTTATTTATGTATGTTGGCCAGCTTTCACCTGAAGAAAGGGCCCTTTTTAATTTTATATATATGGAAATATTTCAATATTCAAATGAAGATCAACTCATATAAATGGAAGATTATGTGATGGGGACAATTTTGCAATAAATAATTTGTTTAAGAGTTATATTAAACTTGGCTTGATATTTGATGTATTGAAATTACTTACGATCCTATTAAAATAGAGGAAAGTGCCAAAATAGGCTTCGATGATTTACATGGGGTTGTTGTGGTCCTTATTGCAGTGTCCAAAAAATTGAGATTTAGGGTCTGTTCGGGGCAGCTACAACTTATTAAAGAAAGTTGTGAAACTGTTGCGGTGATTATAACAATTTTTTTTCTTAAAAAAGTCAGATTGTAGGAAGAAAGCTGCCACCGCGCCTAGTCAGGACCGGTGGAAAAAATGCAGATTTCAATATCTATTTTTTGAAAAATACTGTCAAAACACAATTTATCCTAAATAAATAAAACTGCACCGCCGCCCCCAAACAGACCTTTAATAGTTCTTCATGGGGACCGCGTAAGCCTCAATTTAAAAAGCTAGTATGAGGACTATTTTCACACTTCAATAAACTCTGGGAGTAAAAAAAACTCATTTAAATAGTCGTAAACTATTTTTAACTCCATTAAAATAAGAAAGAGCTCAAGGAGAATGATGACCGAAGAAACAAACTATGAATTTTGTTATAAAATAAAATAAAATAAAATAAAATGAAGAGAGTAAGAGAGGGGAAAATAAAGATAGTTGATAAAAGGTAGAGATATTGCAAGGGATGGAAGTAGTGTAGTATGAAATCAAACCTCTAAAGCCTTGATTTTATTTTAGGGCATCAAACATTAGGCTTAGAGGCTAAGGATGAATTTTCACACATGTTTTACTTATATTTTTATTTCAAAAATACAATAATGATATTTTCTTTATTTTCTTAATAAATTTAAATGTTTTTTGTATGTGCTAAGCACTTTCATTTATTAAGAATTCTTAGGTTTGTAATGTGAACTTGGCTTATTGTTGAGAAACTAACTTAAAGAAGTTGCTTTCATTATGCCCCCCAATCCCCAATCCCCAATCCCCAATCCTCCAATACTTGTCGTCGTTGTCAACCCCTCATAATAAGTAATAAGAGACCTTACAATGTTGGGGTCTCCATATGAGGAAAGAATATGGGTGAGCACAACTAATGAGAGAGAAATACACTATTGTGTACTTGTTTCTCTCTCATTTGTTGTTCGTAGGTGCGGTTATCACACAATGTTTTTTTTTTATTTTTTATTTGGAGGTCTACAAATCACATGAGGATATTGTTGTTGCTCTTAATTTTGCTGCGGTAGGGTGTTATATTAATGTTATAGTATTGTACGAAGATCCAATACACACACGGGAAAAAATAAATTGACGGAAAAGATAACATAAATTTTTATATGGAAAACCTGATCGAAGGGGAGAAAAACCAAATGCTCTAACCCAGTTGAATAGCTAGAAACAATATTACACGAGTGAGATGTGAATTTTGCTAGAAAAGTAACATGAAATGCTGAAGAAATGGAGTTTACTTAGCTATTGTGAAGAAAAGCCGACACTAGAGATTAAGTACCAGAAAGTTTAATGCCAACGTTGGCGTTAGAGGCAATGATAGTGATGGTTGGGTAGTAGAGGTCCAGTGGTGGCGACGTAGGTAGTCTGACAGTGATGGCGGTGGTCCGACATCAACAACAATGAAGGCTGGCTGACTGTGATCTGGTATTGAAGACGGTCAGATGACGGTGGTCTAATGGCGGTGAAGTTGATTAAGTGATGACAGATAATGGTGGCAGTGTGGTGGTAGGGAAATTATAGTCCAGCCAGCGGCGGCGATGACAGCGACGACCGAGCAACGGTGGTCCGAAGACGACGATGGTGATCCAACGATGGTTTGACGGTGGTGGGGTTCAAATGGGAGTGGTTGGGCAATGATGGTCCTATAGTGGTGACTATAGTGGCAGAACAACTATGGTCTATCGGGGGCTCGACGACGAAGGCCAGGTAGAGGTGGCCCTGCGACTATGGTTGCTCCATGACGGTGGTGGAGCAGCAGTGGTTTGGCGGTAGTGGCGGCTCGATGGTGGTGGTTAGGCAACAACGATGTTGGCCCAGTTGTGGCGGCGGTTCAATGATGGTAGAGCTAGGGAATCCTTAACAACTTGGAGCTCCTTCATCTGTAATTTCTTTCAGGTATAGGTCTTTTTTCATGAAGAAAGTGAGATCTACTTATAAATTTTGTGAGTGACATACTTATCAAACATTACATGAATCTGAACCACATTATTGGATGTCCCGGAACGATCCCTTTGATTAGATGATGTTTTATGAGTATTTAAGCAGCTTAATGTTGTTAGACTCAATAATCTTAGGCTAGTTGGATTCAATTCAACGAAATGCTTGATTTAACTATAAATTTGTCAGATTTGAAACTCATTTAACCATTCACTCTCCCATCCAAAACCTCCAACCACGCTTAAATAGCTTGATTTGATCTTGATTGAACTCAAGTTAAACCAACTTTGTCTTCATTTCGTTTTGTCGAGACAGTCACTTTGACCATAATCTTGTTGGAATCAGGGTCTTTGATGACCATGAATTTGAATTTATAACATGTATTATTCTAAGTGGATTGAGATTCATGCATGACTAAAACAATTTTTGAGAACTTATCAACAATGTTATATATCCAACACAATTCTCATGTATCTACATCTTTAATATCTAAAATATGATGATTACATTTATAACAAAGGGGCATAAAATTATGCATGAAAATTTGTGTTTCACTCGTCAAAAATATACTTACACTACTATTATTTTCCAAAGGGCATAAAATTATGCATGAAAATTTGTGTTTCACTTGTCAAAAATATACTTACACTATGTTTTGAGTGGTATACATGTAAATATATAAATTTACTTATTAGCCATGCAACATTTTTCAAATGGCCATGCCATAACCCCACAAAACGACTGAGCATAAAAGACAAAAAAAACGCCGGCCATACCGGTCCTATCCGAGCCGGTCAGACCGGTCGGGTTCGGTTTGGGCAAAGACGACTGAAGCTACAACAATGGATTACAGAAGCCAATAAGCGAAGCAGGACTGCAATTGGCGTTAGTTAAAAGCCCTGTTAGTATAACTCCACATGAGGAATTCTCCCGCGAAGAAGCTCGCCGGCTTCCACTGCAAAACTATTTGCCCTAGCCGCAGAATCTCCAGATTCCATCCCTCAATCACCAAATTCTTCGATCGATTCCTCTGATTGCGCTTCTCCATTCTCGATCTTCTGATCGATTCTGCATGGAAGGGGACGAAGACGGGAAGTGTCGGGGGGGATTTCCGCATTGAGACGTAGTTCTTGCGGATTGGAACACTGCTACTTCGTATTGGGGATCAATGGGATGCGTATGCGTGAAGCCGTTGTTTCATCAAGATGAGTACAGTAGGAGTCCTAGGGCGCGGCCGGTTAATCCCGCGCAGTTGATCGCTGAGGCGAAGCTTTCGGCGGAGGTGTCTTCTTCGGGGCAGGAGATAGTGGGTGTTCGTTGGACTGATGGGAGTGAGAGGAAACATGAGTCGGAGATGAGGAGGGAAAGTCAAGTTCATCCAAGTCGTCAGCAGGTGTGGCTGAGTGGCCGCATTCCGAAGGGGGTGGAAGGGGAGCAGGTGGCGGCTGGGTGGCCGATTTGGCTGGCAGCCGTGGCTGGAGAGGCGATTCAAGGCTGGGTTCCTCGCCGGGCTGATTCATTTGAGAAGCTTGATAAGGTAAGTCGGCTGGGGGGTTAACATGTTTGTTGATATGTTTATGATTTTACATGTTTTTGAGCTTTTCAGTTAGTTTATTGATTACATGGGGGTTTTGACTGATCTGTTCTTTGATTAGCTAGCCTTTTTTGAAGTTTTTTTATTTTTTATTTTTTCCAGCAAATTTTTTATTTAAATAAGAATAATGTTGGATAAGTTCTTCACTGAATGGTTATTTGTTCTGGTATGTTTTTTCTATCCATAAGTTCTTGCTGATTTGAACTTGATGGGTTGATGTTGACTTTATTCATTAGGGAAATTTACATATGCAGCACAAAATTCTTAAGTAAAATTGCTGTTTCTGATGTGATATTAAAGATTTAAGTGCTGTGCGTAAATATGAAAGTTTAGGTGTAAGATTCGTAAATAAGAATTGTGTGATACGTGAGTAGTGAGCTAGAAGAGAAAAAAAATTCAATTTTACGCTCATGGAAGGTTTATGCCAAGGATTTGCATATGTTGTCAGCATATAGTGAAGCTCCTCTTGAATAGATTATTATTTCTAGGACCATTCTCGTTGATTTGAGATAACTTTGGGATCATGAAATATATCTAACCAGAATCATACAGAGATATTTAGTTGAAGTCTAAAAACTCTGATAATTTTTAGATCTACAAACCATTTCATAGCACTGTTGAAACATGACTTTTTTTCAACAAGATGATTGGGTTTTGAATTAGAGATTAAACTCAGGTTGAGGAGCCGCATGGCAGTTTTGAGATTAATCAGGCCGGATTGGGTTGAACGTGGTTTTTGACTTTAATTTATTAAGTCAACTGAGGGTTGTGCCGTCCCATTGGGCATATAAAACTCCAACGTAATTGAGTTGAAACCACTAAATGATGGCTCAGTTTGATCAATCTGAAGATAAGATCTCAATTAGACTGATTAAGGGTCCATTTGGTTGATCAGGGATGAGTTGAGTTAATCATAGCTTATGGGAGTTGACCAAGTCAATGCAGAACATGTTGGGTTGACTTTTGCTATACCAGGTCACGGAACAATTCTTTTTTAGTTGAGGGGCCGTTGTGAGTTAGACTGATTACTTATTAATGACATAGAATGCTTGATATGGACTATCTGTATGATGCTTTCAGCTTAACTAGCAAACTCTTACTGAACAGCTGATATTCAAAAGGTTCGCTGAGGAAATTTAAATTTAAATAACAGCCAAAGTCAAGTCATTTTTGTTGAAAAAGGAACCTTCATCCGTTGCTGACAATATGATTAAGATTCAAACACATTTGTGAATGAAATCTCCTGTTGACTTTAATTTTTTATCTTTTTGTTTGAGAAAACTCTAAAATTTTTGTTATTTTTTTATTAAGAGTGATATCAAAGGAGCGTTTCTCGAACCAACTGACTATTTTCTAATTGCCACATTCTTGTGCCTTTTTTTAATGGAAAACCATCAATTTAGTAAAATTTTAATTAATTTACTATAATATTGCTTGTAGTTGAATAGTTTGGATAATGTTTGATTTCTTAAGATTTAGCATTTTAGATCTCTTAAGAATATCTCTATTTTGCAGATAGGTCAAGGAACCTACAGTCATGTGTTTAGGGCACGTGACCTTGATAATGGAAAAATTGTTGCGCTAAAGAAAGTGAGGTTCGATAGTTTGGAACCTGAAAGTGTACGTTTTATGGCTCGAGAAATCCATGTTTTGCGAAGACTCGATCATCCAAATGTAATAAAACTACAGGGCTTGGTAACGTCACACATGTCTTGCAGTTTATATCTTGTTTTTGAGTACATGGAGCATGATCTTGCTGGTCTTGTTTCTCACCCTAGTATCAAATTCACAGAACCACAGGTAAAATGAAAGAACATAAGTTTCTTTGTTTCATATTATTTTTCTATTATTCTAAATCATTAATTTTTTTTAAGAGAAAATTGTTAAAATGATCCCGCAACTCTTTGTAGGGAATCATTTTAGTCTCAAAATCTATATAAGTGTCAATATAGATCCCAAACGCTTTTTAATGGGCCATAAAATACAGTTTTATAGACTCCATACTAAAATGGCCTCATGTAAATAGTCAAGGACTATTTTGACACTTTACGCTTTCTTTTAATGACTAAAGATGTAGAGCAAGGCCTCTTTAATCATATATTTTTTTTTCTAGGTAAAATGCTACATGCAACAGCTATTATGTGGTCTCGATCATTGTCATACACGAAACATCCTACATCGGGATATAAAGGGCTCCAACCTTTTAATCGACAATAATGGCTTTTTAAAGATTGCAGACTTTGGCTTGGCAAGTTTCTTCGATCCCGTGCAACACCAACAATTAACAAGTCGTGTGGTGACTCTATGGTACCGACCTCCTGAGCTTTTGCTTGGTGCTACAGACTATGGCATTGCCGTTGATTTATGGAGCGCGGGTTGCATACTTGCGGAACTTTATGCGGGCAAGCCTATAATGCCTGGAAGGACAGAGGTAACTTTCCTTTACCATTCGATACTAATATGTAGCACGTATCTTTTATTACTCTACAAAATAAAATAAAATAAAATAAATTTTCACATTATCTTGAACAATATGGCAATGCATATGTTGTAAATGTCAAAATGGTCCTCTTACTTTTTGCATGGAACTAATTTTGTGCTAGGGTGTTATAAATTTGTCAATTTGGTCCTCAGAATTTTTTATTATGGGTTGAAATAGTCCCCAACGGGGAATTTTAGCCCCCATTAAAACAATTTAGGGATTTATTTAGCACTTTTATAAACTCTAGCAGTAAAATGACCTTATTTAAATAGTCAAGGGACTACTTTGACATTTTACTATGTACTTCAAGGAGTTCTTTTCATGTCTGCATGCATCTTTGTTCTAATGCCTTGGTCCCATAGTTAATAAAAATTTCAGCCTAGTCTATAGATTTTTTTGATATGGGTTGAAATAGTCCTCAGTGAGGATTATTTTAGCCCCCATTAAAACAGTTTAGGAATTAATTTAGCACTTTTCTAAACTCTGGGAGTAAAATGACCCTATGTAAATGGTCAGGGGATTATTTTGACACTTTACTCTGTATTTAAAGGAATTATACTCATGCTTGTATGCATCTTCGTTTTAATTCCTCTACAGGTAGAGCAACTGCATAAGATTTTCAAGTTATGTGGTTCACCAACTGAGGACTACTGGTCAAAGTCCAAACTGCCTCACACCACCATTTTTAAACCACAACAACCTTATCCTCGGCGTCTTGCAGAAACATATAAAGACTTACCTGCACCAGCTTTAGCACTAATGGAAGTGTTATTATCCGTTGACCCGGCTAATCGTGGGACTGCATCATCGGCGCTACAGAGTGAGGTACCTAGACAATCAACTTCTCATTCATCTTCATATTGTTCTAATTAATGGTGAATTTTATGCTTGGACATATTCTACCATTCCACCCACCCAAAAAAAAGGGGGGAAATTTTCATATTTAGCACACAATTCTTATGTATTTACATATCTCACGCATAAACTTTCCTATTGGCACTCATAACACTTTGATGCTTTTTATCCATGCATTAAAATGTGTATTGCACTGAAAAAAAATTATAATAGTGCTTTTTTTATGTGATACTAAAGATTCGAGTTCTATGTGTGTAAATATGAAAATTTAGGAGTGAGATATGAAAATACAAGATTTGGGTGTTAGATATAAAACTACATAGGAATTGTGTGGTAAGTAGGTAAATCTTCCTACATATTTTTTGTTGTCATTTGCCAGATTCAGTTCGTTATTGATAGCCTACTGTTGAGGCATCAACTTGCTTTTTCTGTTGGGAAGTAACCGATGCCTTGTAACAATCTTTATAAAATTATCGAATATATTTTCATTGGTGGTTGAACTTAAGGGAGACTAAAATGCTTCATGCTCACAAATAACGCATATTCAACAGAGTAGCTTGTTGAGTTTAGATCATTGGATAAGTAAACAAGCTGGCCTTAGAATAAAATTTTCATCTTATTTCAAACAAGAGCAATGCCAATTATCTTTAGCTTAATAAGGGCTATATATATTTATATAAACACTTATGCATGCATATGTTCAATTTAACTTGAGGATTTTACTATTAAAAACAATTCAATATAATCTAAAAATCATGGGCAACAAATGTTTTAAGTTCAAAAGCAATTAAAAATGAGAAAACATCACAATGATCCTCTAAATCTTTGCAACGGACCATTATAGTTTTAAAACCTATAAAAGTATTTTAGTCCTCACATTTTTAAATATGAGCTGAAATAGTTACATAAACTATTTCAACATCTATTAAAAAAGTTGTGTGCGTTAGATTGACAATTTTATAGACTCTAAAACTAAAATGACCTCATGTGAATAATGAAAGGATCATTTCGGCACTTTACTCCTTCAAAAATGTATTGTTAAAATCTCAAACTATTTGTCATGCTATCGAAGCAATCAATACAAAATTGTCAATGCATTTGATGGGTATTTATTTTGCTTCTTCTTCATACTCAACTTGTGCTCCACTCAATGATAGATGAGCTCAGCACAAACAAACTTTTTTTAATTTAGTAAATATGATCGGGCTAATTCTCAAACAAGACTTTTCGTCAATCATCTTCGGCTAGCTTAAATCCTTAGTACAGACTGTCAAAACCAATGACAGAGAGTACAAGTAGGCTTTTCCGTATTGTAGTTTATAATCCTTATAGAATAGGACTATGAAGTTTTGTACTGTGAAACTATAATTATCTTTAGCTTTTAGTGCAAATATTTATTAGGTGACCTTTGTTTTTCTGCTTATTAATCATTTTGCATTCTAATCTATGTACTTTGTAGTTTTTTACAGCTGACCCCCTTCCTTGCGATCCATCAACCTTGCCCACATACCCACCAAGCAAAGAGTTCGACGCTAAAATTCGGGACGAAGAAACTAGAAGGTGCGCTCTCTTTCTCAAATATGACCAAATTTTAGTCTGCATAATTTATTCTCACAAGCCATTGCTAATTCACAATTGCATGGATTGCTACAATGTTTGAAGACTTGAATATTCTTGCAATAAAAGACGGCCTCAAGCCATTGTTCTTTTCAAAGGAAATTAAGGGAGACGGAAGGGTATAGAAATTAATAATTTTTTTTTTGTTTGCTTTGAAAGAAAACTTAAATGGTAGGTAGAAATCAAAAAGGTTGAGGTCATCTTCCTTGGCTTAAAGAAAAACAGAAGTTTCTTAATATTTTAAAGTTTTGTGGCATTATTTTTATGTTGAAATCCTTATTTTTTTATTCTGTTTACATACATTGCACCCGAAACATTGCTATTTACAAATTTAGCACCCTCTTATATCCATTTTATAAATTCTCACTCAAATATCACAAATGATAAAATCACAACCCATATTTTTTATTTTTATCAAATTCTCAATGCTTTGATCGAGGACACATATATACATTGGTTCGGTGGTTCAAAAATATCACTTGCATGCTAGATTTGTAAATAGTAATGTTTCGGGTGCTATATATATAATTCTTTCTATTTTTTTTCTCAGGAAACTTTGGACCTCATTTTATCATCTGTCTAAAGTTGCTAAAGGCCATTGGGAATATAAAATTAACTTTTTACTACTTCGAATATTAAGCATTTAAATAAGTTGAGAATTTTGTGAGTTGTGCATGGAGAATGGATTCTACCTCTCTAATATTATAATAGTCCAACTAACCAAGTATATAGAATTTGCGGATATTTGCATTAATACGAATAGATACATGAATTATATATTAGTTCTGATAGCGACCAATCATATTAATGGATTATGTTAATAATACTGTTGTTACATTGATAGGCAAAGTGTTAGTGGTGGCAAGGCACGAAAACAGGACCTCGAAACAAGCGAACCCGAAGAATCAAGAGCTGTTACTGCACGAGATGCCAACGGCAAGTTATCTACGTCGAGGAAGGTCATTTTCTTAACCACTTTGCAAATCATGCCAAACACATTTGTCTAATATTGTAGTGGGAACTAATATTAAGATAGGTAAATCCATAAACATACCACACAATTCTTATGTATTTACATGCCTAACCCCAAAGTCTATGCATAAAAAAATGTATTTATTTTTTAAAAAGATATTGATAGTGTTATGTTTGATGTGATGTTGAATATTTGAGTGGTAGTTATGTAATTATAAATGTTTAGGTGCTACATATATAAATACACATGAATTATGTGGTATGTATGTAAATGCTCCTTTAAGATAAGTGGAATTCATGTGTGTGGAACTCATATCAAGCCTAGCAAGTGCTGTGCTTGTATGCGAATTTGATAAATGAATTGCTAACATGCTTAACATTTTAAAAATTGGGGCATTTGGTGGAACTCATATCAAGCCTAGCAAGTGCTGTGCTTCTATGCGAATTTGATAAATATTCTTGGAAGATTTGCGTACATACCACTCAATTCCTATGCATTTTCATATCTAACACCTAAATTAGAGCTTTTTCCATTTATACTACCCAAATCTTTCGTATGACATCAAAAATCCACATTTTTTAACTTTTAAGAAGTTAAATGGGCCATTTAATGTATACGAAAGGTGCATATATCTACAATTTGAACTTCAGGTGTTAAGTGTGTAAACACAAAGGAATTAGAAAGTATGTATGTAAATATTCCTTAAAAAATTTCGGAGAATTTACATATATAACACACAATTCCTATATATTTTCATATTTAACGCCTAAAATTTGATATTTACATTTATAACATCTTAATGTCATAAATTTATGCATGAAGATTATATCTCCTTTAAAATGGTAATAATGGTGGCATTTTTTATGTGTTAAAAGTTTTGAGTTATGAACCTAAATACAAATGTTTAAGTGTTAGATATGTAAATGCATACAAATTTTATGATATGTATGTAAATGCCCCATAAAATTTTCTTAGGCCTTGACTTTTAAATTCTTGCCATTCTGATCAACTCCCGATGAACCACATATGATATATTGAACTCCTGTTGTTATGCTTTGACAGAAGAAATGGCAGGGACAGAGTAAGTCTAAGAGCAAGAGCGCGAAATTCAAATCACATCCGGAGGAAGCTGCCACCGGATTTCCGATCGAACCGCCACTTCTGAGGTCACTCGTGCCCGAAGCCGCCGAGCGTTCTCAAAGGCTTCACCCCCACAAAATTTCGCATTCAGGGCCTGTGGTTAGTCGAGGACCGCCAGCGAGGGTTCGGAAAAATGAAGATGATCTATTGAGGCTCGCAGCTGCCGCCAATTTATCTGGCCTTTCTGGTCTAGTGGCAGCAACCAGAAATCCTGATTCTCTATCAGAAAATAATCCTCATGATGGAAGAATATCAGAGCCTGGAAGTGATCACTCAGTGGCTCATCAAAAGGAGCATGCAAGGGATGACTACATGAATCAGTCTCTAGTAAGTATTTTGATTTTAAATTTATTTCACTTTTCAAATTAACACACATACCACACAATTCATATTTATTTACATATTTAAATCCTAAGTTTTATTTGACTTTTTACTGTTATACCGCACAAATTGTTCATGTCATGTCAAAAATACTAGCATTTTAACTTTTAAAAGGTGAAATATGCATTTTCACGCATTGCTAAGGCGGTGTGTGTGTAAAAATTGAAGTGTAGGTGTTCAATATGTAAATACCAATGAATTGAGCTGTATGTATGTAAATGTTCATTTATTATAGTATACCTTTACTTGTCTTAAGTTGTAATTTGTGGCTTTAGAAGGGGAGATTTGTTAATTCTCATGATTACCAAATAAATTTAAATTTAAATTTAGATTTAAGGGGCATTTACATACATACCACAAAAAATGTTATGCATTTACACATCTAACGCAAACTTTTATATTTACATCGATAACACTCAAATCTTTAACATCACATAAACATGAAGATTTACATACACATTTTCATACATATATTTTTGACACCAAAGTATTGTAAATGTGAATATCAAACAAGCGATGTTAGATATGTAAATACATGAGAATTGTGTAATGTAAATACATGGTTTGCATCTTTCACTCCAAATTCTAAATCAAATTGTGATAATTGCAGCAACCGGGTTATGGTCCGAAGGGCAAAAAAATACACTACTCTGGTCCGTTGCTTCGCCCGTTCGGGAACGTAGACCAGATGCTCAGAGATCATGACCGTCAGATCCAAGAGGTGATTCGACGAGCACGGATCGATCGGTCAAAGGTCAGGAGAAATCACGACAGTGGCGGTCGAGCTGGTTCGAGTAACAAACCGTACAATATGGGTGTTAATCCTGCCTATCCCGCTAGCCGAAGCTCGGTTATAGTCTTCACTACTAGCCGTGGGGCTTTACAGCAGCAACAGCAAGGTATTTAAGCCTTTGTTTTTGTCCTTAGGCCTAATAGGGGCATTTACATACATACCACACAATTCTTTTATATTTACATTCTAGCAGCTAAACTTTCATATTTACACACAACACTCAAATCTTTTAGTATCACATCAAAAACAACACCATTGTCTCTTTTTAAAAGTGAAATATTCCTTTTCATGCATAGGTTTAAAGTGCAAATATGAATGTTTAGGTGTGAGATATGTAAATACATAAGAATTGTGTACTGGATATGTAAATTTTCGTTTTTATCATTGGGTTGTGAATTGGGAGGGGAAGAGAATTAATTGTTCATGTATAGGGGTCTATAATTTTTATTTTTAGTTTAAAGTGCTTGTAAGGGTGATTTATGCATTAAATCATTTCAATTGTGAGCTAAATATTTAATTTTTCAATTAATTTAGTTCAAAGGTGGCTGTTTGAATTTGGGAAACGGGCAATCTATCTAAATTTCATTTCTTACATCTATACCAACCAATCCTTCATATCACATGAAAGTAAAATACATAGCATATGCATAAAACTTGAGGTTCATGTGTTAGATATGTACATGAATTGAGTGATATGAAATGTAAATCTTCTTATAATTTATTATAATGTGGTAGTTTGCGTGCAAGGAAGGTATGCTGGGGATGATGGTTCATTTGACACACACAATCAAATAGATGGAGAAATTATAAGAATTTAATAGAGTTTTGCACATTAAACCAGTTTGTCACTTTCATAGAAATATAATTTGTCACACTTCTTGGATAGAGCTTGTTTGTTTGGGGCAGCTTATTTGGTGCGGTGGTGTTTTGAAAACGCTCCTAGACTGTTTGGGTAAACTGCGTTTTGGTAGCTTATGCGTTTTGAAAACGCTGGAAGCAGTGTTTTCACACCGCATTTATCTAGGTGCGGTGGTAGCTTTCAGACATCGGTCTGAGTTTTTCAAAAAAAATAAAAATTTCTAATAGCCACCGTACCTAGCTTATCAACAGATTATTTTTTATCAATTTATTAACAGATTATTGAATAAGCTGCAGCTGTCCCAAACAGAAAATATCATGGAAAGCGGATTAATTTAGGGTTTGTTTGGAGTGTGCAACAATTTAAAAATGTGAGGTGGGAAAAATAATTTCTTAGAAAATTGTGGTATGAATTAATATATATATATATATATATATATATATATATGTATGTATATAAACCACTCAATTCCTATGCATTTACACATCCAACAACTAAAATTGAATTTTTATATGTCACTTTATCTAAGCATAAAATGTATATTCTATTTTTTAAGATTTATAATAATAGCATTTTTGAAGTGATGTAAAAAATTAAGGCAGCAAAAATGTAAAAAATCAAAGATTTAACAGCTAGATATGCAAATAAATAAGAATTGGGTGGTGTGTATGCATATGCCCCTAAATAAACTCATTTTTGACATACATTTTGAGGTTAGGGGTGTCAATTTGGCCTGCAGGTTCGATTTGGGTCAACTCAAATCCGGCTTAAATATTATACGAATTGAAAATCCCAACTCAAACCCAACTCAGCTCATATAGGAATCTGAACTCAGCCCGTTTAACCAGTTTAATATAAAGGAATAACCATTTGAGTCAAAATTAAGTCAAAATTGGGTCAACTTCAATGGAATTCAATCAAATTTAAAGTTGGTCAGTCAATTTCAAATCATTTTTTTAGTTAACAGGTCAACTAAAACCCGACCAAAAAAATTAAACAGGTTATGAATTCTAACTCAAACCCAACCCAAAAATTATTCAGGTCAATCCAAAAATTATTCGGGTCAATCCAAACTTTGAGGGCAAAGTCAGACTTCTGAATGTGCAATAGAACATTTCAAATATACAATAAATATGAATATATATATATATATATATATATATA